GAAGAGAAGACTGCAGCCAGGCTCTGTGCAAACACAGGGCTTGTCCCTTCAGGGTACACCCACCACTTACCCAATGCAGGGATTGTTTTGGTATCTCGGAGCTGTGTAGGAAAAAGGAGAAATGTTTTTGTCCACGAAAGAGCCAAACCCCAGCCGGAAATTGCTAGTGAGCTTTCGCATCTCTTCAGCCAGCTTGGTCCCCAGATTGCGAATATTATCTAGGTCGTCGTTCATGGACAGGGAGAGATCCATCAGGTAGTAGAGGTCCACAGGATAGTCCTCCACTTGCCGAACCTGAACTCGGAAGGAGGTCTGGTCACCTGCACACACACACACAGGAGTTGAGAGTGGTGAAAAGGAAACTTGTAGCACACATAAAATCCAGACCGCAGGCTTTTTCCTCCCACCCTGCAGAGCAGATAGATCACTTCCAAAGAAGAGGGTGAGGGGAATAAGCTTTTCCAAATCCATCCCTTAGGAGACTAACAGGAAAGCAGGTAATGACTTTGGGTCCTTTTAAGCTATGTAGGATACTGGCTACAAGAAAAAAAGACACATCTATAAACTGCATGTCTCTATTTTACTTTGGAGATATGAGAAAGGGTCTTTCCACCTCAGCTGAGAGAACATCTAGGGTGGGGATACATGAAAAATGCTGCTGCCACAGACTGTACACAGTCCAGGGGTGTTTTCCTGGAAAACTGGGAAGAAAAGCAAGCAAAAGAACTTGAAAGGGATGTTTCATGGACTACTGAAAGACGGACCCTGCACACGCTTACTTGGGTATGTCCTCAAAGCAAACCAGGAGCAGTCCAAGAAGTCCTGCACAAAAGTGAGAAGGAGGTGGAGCAGGAGAAGGAAGAGGGTCAGGAGAAAGCAGCCAGCATGACCTGAATGCAAGATGTTCTCTGAGCTGTGCAGGGAAGTCAAGTCGAAGCAGACACAGAAGAAACACCTTTTAAAAGGGTATCTCCCCCAAAAAAGAGCCATGCCACCATCATTCTGGAGAAAGGGCAAAAGGGAAGTGAACTGGAAAAAGAAGGTTGTTATGGTCACCCGGGGAAGCACCAAAGCAGAGATGAAGCTTCCTGAAGTGATGAACAGAAGGGAAGGACCTGACAAGGCTGAGTCACAGGCCGTGCAAACACGAAGAAGAGCAGAGGAAAGCCTTTCCCCTGACCTTCCCCTTTGCCAAACCGCTTTCACCAGAGATGCCCTCCAGAAGGGTTGCCCGGGAGGGGAGGCCACCACTGGCACTGCCCACACCTCAAAAAAAGGTGAAGTGGCTTCAAAATGAACTCAACGTCACACCAGATGGACCTCGGTGGAGCCAGAGAGGAGGTGGCAAATGTTTGCCTTACGCTTTGCTGAGAGAGGGGTCTAAATGGAAACCCCAGGCTGGTTTGGAGATCCCCCATTCCCAGCTGCCACCTCAGCCCCCCTTCCAGCTCAGTGGGGTCTCAGACCCAGCAACTCAGATCCTCTCAGGACCAAGCTCCCCCTCCTGCCCACCTCTCCCAGCTCTTCATGGCTGAGGCTGAACTTTGGGCACTGGCAGGTTCTGCAAAACACTCATGGCTTCCCCTCTTCTTCCCCAGAGAAGAAACACACATTTTTTAAGTATTGTGAAAACATTTCCCTAACCATTTTATTGTTCTCCTCGTTGTGCGCAGCAGCACAGCTGCTCCCACTTACTTCCAGCCCAACAACATGCAGCAGCAGCATCCCAAAACTGCCGTGCTGGCAAGACGTGGCACCACGGGCTTCGCAGCCCGGCAGGCAGGAGCCCCGCGTGGCACCTTGGGGTCACGCTACGCCGAGTTGCACGCAGAGCCCAACGCCCCACCAAATCAGGTGGGCCTGACGCTGTACCTGGCATGCATTTTGTGGGGGAACAAAGGAGAACACCATTTATAGAGTGCAAAACCTGTTAGCAGGGATTGCAGGGTAACAAACCGTGATTGCAAGCTTGGGTTTAAACGCATTCTTGCAGCACTGAATTAACTTCGGGAAAATTCATTCCTATGCCTAATTTTTTTTTCATTCCTACATATTTTTCCCACTGGAATACCCAGACCTTTCAGGAAAAGAGGATGTGTCCTTCTGCATTTCCCGTTTCCAAAACACTGTTCTTCCTGAGCAGGTCCTAAGATGGGAATTCCTGTGCCAGAAAGGGTATTTAGGATGCTCTGATCAAACCTTCTTCTCTTAATAGTTACAAATTTATTAGTCCCTGAGAAGCACCAAAAATAACAGGATCTTGGGCCTGGTTCTTTCATTCGTAACTGTGCAAATCAATTATCTCAGAGAAAATATAGCTAATGTATGTAGATGTAAGTGCAAAAGAATTTATTATTCTCTGTGCACAGTATTACTCTCACACTTCTAGGGATAATCCAGCCCCCTCCTTCCCCATGTACTGTCACCACCATCCTCTCGTTAGGGCTTATGCTGAGAAATTTTAAACTCAAAACCGAATTCAGAAATGTTTCTTGGACACTGTCACACAGAGGCAGTGCAGAAACTGGAAAAACTGCTTTTGGCCAATTTAGGAACACAAATTCAACAATCACTTATCCAAGAAAAGCTCTTTTTTCTGCTTGGTGAGGCTCACAGCTTGATGAGCAACACAACTTGCATCTATTCATTTTTTTAATTCCTTTTACACTATTCAAATTTTTCATTTAACCAGGACACACTACTTTATAGCTGGACCCAAGATTAAAAAGCAATATTATAAAAACTAAATGCTTGACCTGAAAGCTACCCTATAAGAAAATCAATTTAAGGCCTTTGGAAATTAGCTGTGAGCACAGAGATTTGGGGATGTGACTTCTGCCACAGGACGATTAGATCAAACTGCCTGGGTGGGAACGACAAACAATTGACAATTTGTTCCCTTCTGCTTCTGCTTAGCGGTCTAAGAATAAAAGATCACCATTGCCACAGACCGCGCGTGAATTCATCTTTGAAATAGTACACTCTTCATGCCCAAAATTAAATCAACATTGTCTCCTCTTTGTCTTGGGTTCACAGGGTGAGACCCATTCTCAAGCTCAGGGATTAGATAATTTAAACTGGGGATGCTCATACAAGGGTTTAGGAAGTCATCAGCCCTAAGACGGAGTGCTGCCAGGTATCAAAAAGAGAGAAAAAAAAGGGAGATACTGTTACAAACATCTACAAACATCTAGGTGTGTCCCTCCTCCTGCAAGGACTCGGATGCTCTGCAGCAGGCGCAGAGGGAGGGGATCTCCCTGGCTCAGTACGGGAATCGCTGCGGGGGCCCTGGGGCTGGTTCCTGCAGCTCAGCCCAGACCTGGAGGGCTTCTCTGCTGTCCAAGGAGAGCTGAAGGTGGCCACAAGCGTGGTCCTTTGTGAGGGCTGGCAGGAACAGCACACCAGCCCTGTGCAGCCCGAAGCATCCAACAGCGCAGTCCCTGGGAAGCCACAGGGAGACGGACCCCACGTCCTGCTGCAGACCGGAGCAGGGGTATCCGCACCTCTGGCTGGGCAAAACTTCCAACCCAAACCATTCCATGATTCTGTGAAAACTGCTGGGGACTGGGAAAGGGGAATTTACTGAGCACTGGGGAAGGGTCTGCAGGAGGCGAGACGTGGAAGCTGAGCCAGCCCTTTCTGCCAGGAGTTGCCTCAAGAACCAGGAGGAGTAACAGCTTCCTTTTTTTAGGGGAGCAAACCTGTTTCATCAGCAACATTCAGTTGCAGAAGCCGTGCATCTAGCCATGCATCCAGTGGTAACTACTCTCAAGGCTTCGAAGCAAAATTTCTTTACATTTGAGGGTCTGACTGATGACAGCAGTCATACTGCTGAGGAAGGGTTAATTAAGAGACATGATGACTATCCAACCCATAGTATTAAAACAAAAAATCCTGCAGCAACTAGTAGGCTCTGGGAGAGCACTGGTAGTATGAGCACCAACTCAAACTCCTGTTTTTCTTGGGCAAAACATCATATTTCATTTTTCTGTATGCTCATGAGAGCTGTCAAAAAACTGTAAGCCTTAGAAACCCACACCAATTGCTTATAATGAATCGAGCTTTTATATTTGCTTCTTAACTTTGCAATAAAGAGCTTTTTTTTCCCCTTTAGAAATATCATCTGCCAAATTTTTGCAAGAATTCTGAACCCACATTAAAGCCTCCCCCCACCATGCAAAAACTTTTGATAACAAGCATGCTCGCATGGTTTAGTCCAGCCGTTCACTTCTAATTTTTTAATTAAAAGGAAGAGATTGAAGAAAAGTGATGGCTCAGGGGAATGAAACAGGGATCTGGCCACAGTCCAAGGCCTGAGTCACAAGTTCAAGTCTCCATCTTCAGCCTTGATCCCACGGCTCTTTTGCATACCGACAGAAAACAGATATGCGTTTTTGTTTCCAATTTATTGAAGGAGCTGTCTCAGTTTAGAGTCAAGCACTGTCAGCTTGGTGGAGGATCCAAAGTTATGTTAACTCCTTCCATCCAGGGATTACATTTTTAAGCTGAGCAGGTTCCTTCTAAACACATGCAGAGGTTAAGACTAGTATTGGTAACAGTTGTGGGTGGGCTTTGACTGACTTTGCATAACAGCGGTATCCTCTCACGGAGGACACACACCTCAGCCCCAAACCTGTTCGTGATGCACCACCAAAGTTCACAGGCTGCGGAGGGGGTCAGCAGCCACCTGCTTTAGTGGGCTACAAGGTCACGAGCTATAACACGCTCTCGGCACGTCCCAGCCATGCTTTCTCACCCCCACACCCCCCAGCATACGGATCACAGCCGCTGGGGACTCACCAGGACGAAGATTCAAGGCGACCTTCTGAGGCGTGATCTGCGTGACGTCCAGGTGGGTCTGGCCGGAGCCCTTGCTGCTCAGAGGGACGTTCTTCACCACGCTGATGCTGCTGCTGGGGTTTTCGATGGCTCCCGCACAACCGTTTGCAATCAGGTTCTGCAGGAAGTCACACCGCGATGTGATGGACTTTGTGCTGCCAAACTCCTGGGGGGTGAAAAACGGACAAAAGGGAAGGGGAGGAGAGACATCAATCCCACAGCAGGGGCTTTGTTTTGACATGCTGGTATCTGTAGCAAACAGGAGATGACAAGGAGAAGCTGGTGTCATTTGTGGTGGCTGTACTCAAAAGCAGCCTGCACTGAACTTTGAGCCTGTCAAAGGGATCTACCAAAAAAGAAATCAGTTTGAAAACTGAATTTGCTCTCAGACCACCACAGCAGAAAGCTAAGCGTGGGTTTTCACCCCAGCCACAGCAGCAGTGCTTCCTCCCAGCCCTGTGAAAGCATGGCAAAGTGTTTGGTTTGCTGCCCGGACAGCCAATTGCCATCTCTTTGAGGGGACAAGGTAAGAAGCTGTTATTTTTCACACGTGCATTGCCTGGAAGGAGCTTTGCAAAAGAGAGAAGAGAGGACAAGGAGGTGGCACCGCAGGAAGCAGAACAAACCCACCAACCCAGAGAGCCAAGTCAAGATGTGCAGCTGGAGATGGAGGCTGGGAGGCTCCAGGCACCTGCGCCCTCTTCCCCGGGCAAGAGACCCCACATGTCCCCACGCAAGCACCGCGTGTGCCCCCTCCCTCACACCTCTGCGACACCATCGCATGGAAACAAAAAGCGACCGCAGGCAGTGGTCCCTGAAGCGGAGCACAGCCGGAGCGGTTTGACGTGGGCAGGCTGGCCTGGGCAGCTGCGCCAGAGGATAAGGGAGGTGGGGGACCCTGCACGGGAGGTGGTCAAAAGGCAGCCCGTGCCCGCCGCGGGCAGCGAGGTGTGGGCAGCGAGGCGTGGGCCCCAGAGGATGGGCTGCCATGGCAGGGAGTGTCCCAGTGCCCGTGCCCAGAGCTCCAGCCCTCGCTGTGAGCCCCGTGTGTGGTGCACAATGCAGCCTTGTGCAGGGCGGCGGTCAGGAACAGCCGGCTACACAATGCAGCCTTTTGCAAAGAGCCCATTTGTTAGAATGACTTTTCTTTTTTTAAAATTTTTTTTTTCCCCCCAAAAGAGCCAAAGGGAGCAAGTCGCATGCCCCAAACTTACTGAATTTCCAACAGCTGATTCCTACTTATTTCTGCACTGTAACAATAGAGACAACTGTGTTCTGCTCCAGGGCTCATCAACTAAAATGACGTGAAATAATGTAGAAAAGATGCTTGCAGCCACACCAGCCCCTCCGTCAGCCACACAGCCAAAAACTGTGAGTGGGACTGAATAAACCCCACTTTTTGCTGATGCTCCGGCATGGCAGAAGACAGGGGAGATATCAAGGAGGGAGAGGTTTTCCAACAGATCTCACCTTCACACCCATCAGGGTGCTCCGGGGATCCCCTGAGGACAGCCTCGGCCGCAGGGCCTGAGGACACAGGCAGAGGCTCTCTGCTGCATTTTCTCACTACGAGGTCCCAACACTATTTGAAAAATGTGAGATTTGCATTCCAGCATCCAGTGGCGGGGTCCAGCCAAGGAGACGGCACATTGGATCGATGCAAACATGAATTTCTTGGAACACGTCACGTAAACAGATGAACTTCCAGAAAGGAGGACTGGGAGTATTTAAATCATCTCCAGCATGAAAAAATAAAAATCAGAATCCCTCATAAAACCGAAAACAACGCCTAGCCTTTCAGAGCAGCACGTTTAGAGCAGCCTTGGAGAAAAGTTTATCTTGGATGTGGTTTGACTTAAAGTCAGTGAAAAGCCAGTGGGTCCAGGGGCTCTCCCAGGCTGGTCCACCCTGCAGCAGCACACCCGTGGGGAGATGCTCTCCTGGTGCCTGGACAATGGCTCCAAGTGAGCACCTCCGCCAGCTCATTTCTGCTGGCCACCTATTAGAAAGGACATTCTAGTTGTGCAAAAAGCAACACAAACAGCACCAGGAGTGCAGCTGGGAACCTTCTGTTATTCCCCGGGAATTAAGACTGGAGAGAAGTATCCACGTGGGACAGTATTTAGGGCTGCTTGTGCAACTGCAGCCTTTATCAGGCATTTGCAATCCTCCCCGGGGTCTGCTCCAAAGCCTCTTGACATGAACGGAAAGACTTTACTTCAAAGGGCTTTGAATGAGGGCGTAATTTTCTGACTGGGGTAGCACAACAAGAGCTAGGAGGGGTGGGCAGCCCAGGGAGACAAGGATGGTGGCTTCCTCACCCAGCTGCTATTCTTTAGCAGTGGAGCTCGGAGCACCACGAGAGACGGCGCTGGGTATGGTACTGGTTATATCGATGTCCATCATCCCAGCCAGGGGCGTACACGAAAGCAGCATCCGCTCGCTGAGGACAAGACAGTGCTGGCACGAGGGGCGAGGCGCAGCACACCCGTGTGGGACCTGCCGGGAGCTTGTTTGCACAGTGGTGAGGAACAGTTACTGCTGCAATGTGTTTTTCTGCAGCATCCGTGACTGCATGTGCAAGCCTGTCTGTTTGCACAGTGGTGAGGAACAGTTACTGCTGCAATGTGTTTTTCTGCAGCATCCGTGACAAAAGTTCTCCAAAGGAAACCCAGGAGGTTGGGGGGAAGCCCCTACATAACTCCTGATGGTGATGCACAGAGCTCTCCGGTCAGCAGCACCTCTGCACAGGTCCCCCTCGCTTGACCCAATTATTTTCTCAAACTTTCTTCTAAAATAGGTCCTGAGGACTTGCCACAGGACAAGCTACAGCTCAGATCAAATCCAGGCCCTTTCTTGTTCCGTGAAACGCTGCATTACCTGGGGTGGAGGGAAATACACCCCCTCAGGGGTGCACACACCTCAGGGAAGGGGGTGCAGCTCAGCACCCAGGGGCTGCAGGACCGACCCCTACTTCTGCTTCAGTTTCTAACCCAGGCAGGGTGACACCGAGCAAGGGAGTGACAGTGGCCTCGGGAGAGCCCCAGCACCCTGCAAACACCCCTCGCATGCACCCACAGGTCCAAACCCAAAGCCAAACCTGTGGCTGCCAGGTACCGTCCAGCTCAGCGCAGTTTTCTGTGACCAAAAAAATTGAGGCTCCCAGAGGTTAAACGAAAGGAAAAAAAGGATGAGAAGATTTGAGGAGTAAGGGGTGTCACGCAGGTCCAAATAATTCATGACCAACCAAGCCGAAAGGCGGCCCCGCACCGTCTCAGACACACCAGTTCAAACCCCAATTTCCCCTGAGCAGAGGACACCTCGCAGTTAGTTAAGCAATTCGGTGTGCCCAAATACCTGCCGACCATCTGCGGGCAGGCCTGCTTCAGCGAGAAACGCAGCAGGTACCCCACAGCCAGCAGGAACTGCCCCAAGCATTGCTTCACACCACAGAAAAGCATCGGTTCGGGAAGATCCCACCTAGTCCTGGTTAGTAACGCTGGCTGCTCACAGCCCGGTGGGCGCTTTGCGGTCCGGCCTCTGCACTAACAAGCTCACAAAAGCAAATGGACGCAAGCGGCCAGAAGTGAATGGAGACAACACTGTGACAATTACATGCTCATCAGTTTGACAGTTTTAAGACAAATCGCTTGGTTCATGCCATAAAAATGGAAATAGCACTGACTGTATCAAACTGACCATACCTAACTCCTGACTAGACATATCCCTACCATTTTTTGCTTTAATCAGTCCAGTTCTGCATTAATTCAGTCTGAAATATGCCTGCTTTCTCCATTTAAATAAAATTGACGTGTTCCCTCTAGGAACAGCCTTGATTTTCTTTCCACATTCTCCAGGCACACATTCCTGAGATGGGAGAGGATGAGGTACAAGCAACCTGGTGAAAAACAGCGGGTGCCATTGGGGAAAATTTCAGTGCCATTAATCAAAAAGGAAATTTCAGTTTAAATAACGTAATTAATGAGCATCTCTGACATGTACACATACAAATGCATCCACATAGGTAACGCACGGACGAACACACAGTGTACACTCACCTAACAAAGAAGAGGAGCCTCTGCACATCAGTATGCTGCTCCCCAAAGCAACGAACAGAAGATAACAGCAACGTAATGACACCACTTCCCTCCCCACACCGGTACTCCCGAAGGCTCTTTTGGAAAGCTTCCCTCCTGCAGTCACTCCAGGTTGATTTATCCCCTGTCTATCACACCCCACCAGGCAGCTCAGAGGACGGCACTGAAGCCACTTCCAGAGCTCCCCGCTCTCCGCAGCAAGCCCGACGCGCCCCGCTGAGCCTGGGCAACCTGATGGCACTGCAAAAAAATCAACAAGCATCCCCCTCTCCCACCCATGAAATCCAGGCTGCCGCAGGGATCACAACAACCCCATGGGCCAGCTTGCAGTTTCCAGCCAGAGTCTTTCACCAGCAGCAGGTCAGCAATTTCTAGTCATTGCCAGCTTCTTCTGGAGCTTGTGGGAGAAGTTGAGGAATCTTCTCAGATTCCAGCACGGATGGAAAGGCTGCAGCAATCTCCGTCACCCAAGAGTCATGTATTTCCCTCAGACAGCCCTGTTTCAAGGCATGCTCAGGTGATGGTTAAGGCCACACATATATACCTCCTCTTTTAAGTGCCATTTAAACAGATGACCCCATTTCAGTCCTGCCTTTCAAGGTATTCTTCCATGAGCCAACAGAATTGATGTCTGCTTCCACATTTCCAACAGCCCAAAGACTTGTGGTTAGCTCAGCAGCCCTTGGAGGCTCCGGGGCTGCTGGAATACCAGAAGCTGCTGTCATCAACTCATCCATCATCACCCTTTCTGATGGGAGCAGAGATGCTGAACGCAAGCAGAAGTGAATAGACACAGATTCAAGCCAAGGGGACATGATGCACCCTGCACTAACAGGTTAGGAGGAGGTAGTTACAGATTTATAGCATGTTGACTACTCTGCTGTGAGTGTCTACCTATATGCATGCTCTTACCCTCACAACTCAAGGCAATGTAAATACAAGGAACCTTATCCTACTCGGAAAGCCATGGGGATAGGGCTCCTTGTATCTGCAGAATTGCTTTCACACACTCCTAACCCCTAATTACAGTCACATGGAGCCTGGATCTGGGAGTGCAGAGGGTGATGGAGGAGGTTGTGCGAACCGTGGTCATCTCTGGGAAACAGCACGGCTGACCTGCTCATAGTGCTCCTCTCCACAGCTGGCGTGTCCCTCACAGCGTCAGCACTGCCGGGCACCCAGGAGCACAACGAACAAACAGGTACGACGGCACTGCCAAGTGATATTATTCCCCAGAGGGAGGAATATTGTATATAAGACGGTATAATTTTATATAGGCAGGAAGGTATAATAATATATATATTTTGTGTATATATATTATACATATTATATACATCTCTACACTCCCTGTATATAACATTTATATTATAATACATATACGTATATGCAGAATTATATTATATGTACCTATAGACTTTTATTATATATACTTCCTGGCAAAATTACTAATTGTTGCCTGCAAAGATGACAACAGCTGACCCAATTTGCTCCCAAACCCATTCAGTAACTGCAAAGGAAGCAGAAAATACACACTAATCAGCTGATCATGTTTCTGCCACAACATAACTAGTGTCTGGGGAAACCCCTCCAATACCTTCGTCTTGATACTTAAACGGCAGCAGACCTATAGAATTTGACTGGCACATACGCTCCCAGGCAACATACACAGTGAATGACAGCTAATGGAAATAGAGAAGGAAAACAGACTAAAAGCAATTTAATAAGCATTCCTGACTAGACTGCGGCAGAGGGAAGGGAAATAAGGTGGTGAAATGAGTACGCAAAGAAAGCAGATATTAAGAGTTTACAGTATTACTTTAAAAATTCTGAAGTCGAAAACCTTAGTTATCTTTCGCAATCCCATTACCTCACCTGATGATCTCAGTTAAAGAGAAATAATTAGAGTTTCAAACAGTAAAGTTACAGAATTAGAATAAGAACTCACTAAGTTTTTGCACGCAGCATGTAATTGGGACAGCAGCTTTTAAAAACGTAGCTCTTGGCATGAAACACCTTGAAATGTATTTTTAAATAGCTAAAGGCTAAAGGTCAGGAAGTATTACAGCACTTCCCTGTAAAGACTCATTTTCCTTTTTGGCCCCTTCATTCCATTTAGGAATATTTTTTTTTTGGTAACTGTCCTGTTTGCAAGATAAGAGTCAGGCTGCCAGTCCCATGGACAGGTATACAATTAGTGGTCACAGCGACCACCAGACAAACATTTCTACTGGCAGCATTTTGCAAAAAAAGTGGTATTTTAAAGCCAGGAATTAAAAAAAAAAAACCAAACCAACAAAAACCCCCAACAACTAAGCTATTGGGTACCCATAGCTTAATAGCCAGCGTTCCTGGATCCAATCTCACCACCGCAGATTAGCTGGCTGAAGAGGAGCTCTTACAGCTGTTTACAAGATGTCTCAAAAGTGAGATCTATTGCTTTACCCTTTCCCTTCTGCACACCATTCGCCTTGCTGGAAAAAAACCCATGAAAGCTATTACGCTGTCAGGGAGCATGGTGTTAGGAGCATTAGGAGGTTTTCTTTGGAGAGCTGTGGCTGTGCCTACCAGTAAGTGAAAACCCAGGAAAGTAGACGTGGAGAACCAAAAGCCAGGGTACCTCCAGAGACACAGACGAACCGTGGGGCTCAGGAGCCTCCCTCACCCCATCCCCATCTCCGTCCCCATCCTCATCTTCCGCCCCGTGGGGCAGCAGCCGCCCCAGGCAGAGCTGGCAGGAGGAGGGACGGGAGCAGCCGCGGAGCACACGGGCAGCACCTGCATCCTCAGCTCAGCATCACCAGCTATAGCTGGAAGGTGAAGTGTGTGCTCAACCCCACAGCTTGCCTCCCCCAAAACGGGACCAGCATGGCCACGCTAAAGGAAAAAGGGTCAGCAGGGAACAGGAGAGCATCATTCCTGGCCGCACCCATCAAGAGGTTCAAGGTCATGCACCGCTCTGGGGCTTCTCACAGCCCAAAGCTGGTCCCTGGCACAGCAGCTGTGCCTGCAAGAAGGCAGGGTCTTCCCCTGCATCTGTAAGCATCCTTATTTCTCTCTTAAACACTTAGGACAGATGCAGGCACTAAGCAGACAACAGCTATCTATGCATCCGACATTAACAGGTCTTTGACACACCTTGTTCTCTAGAAAGCGTAAGTCTATATGATAAAATGTGTATTTGATAAGATATATTTATATCTAAACTCATAAGCAGTCCTCAGGGAGCAGGCAAAGATATTTGCAATTTCTCACAAACCAAGGAGACCCAATTAAATTATGGGCAAGGATCTTCAGCAGCAACAGAAGGATGCGTTTTCACCCCGAAGCGCACAGTTAAGCTGTGTAACTCATCGCTTACGGATGGTGCGGATGCCAGAAGCATGGGTCGGCTCCCAAAATGACACAATAGATTCAGAAAGGAGAATCATCTTTGTATAGACAAAGAGCCCGTGCCATGCCAGGCCACGCAGCGAGGGACACGTAGCAGGACACCAGCTGGGGGCTTGGGGCTTTTTAGGGAGAGCACTTTCAAGCAAGGCTCCCTGCAACACAGAGCCCATGCAGGGACCCAGCACCCACCGAAAACAAGAAGGTAACTGAAGGGACAGAAGGAACAGTGCTGCTCTGTTGAGGGTACGCAGAAGCCAGCAGGGTCGGAGACTTATTTCCTACAGTGTCGAAGAGCTGGAGAGTCACATATACCCAAAATACGCTTGGCATGGGAGCCCTCGCTACCCTCACCCACCCCTTTGGCACGGGACGGTGTCAGGAACAGGCGAGGGGGTGGAATAGCTCCCTTTCTGTGTCACAAAAAGCATGCAAGACAACCGAGGTCTGCCCACCTACCTCCTTGGAGCACCAGGCACACTTGGGATGGATGAGGAGACACTCTTCGCAGGACGTGGCGCTTCCGCTCGTGCACAGATTGAGACCTTCAGCAAGAGAGAACGACAGAGAGCGGGATGAGCTGAATCGTTACTTCACTCCTGAACGGTGCTGAGGGGTTTCCTGAGATATTCTTAACGTTAAACATACTCTAAGCTCAAACAGTGTCAAGAACAAAGAATCTCCCAGGACCTTAAAAGGCTGCAGAAGGAACAAACCTGTAAGGAGCTCTTGTTTCCTTCTCCTTCCCCAAGAAAAATGAAAAGGTCAGAAACTGGTTTTGGGGGGCTGAGAACCACCAAAATAAGACTCCAGTGATTTTTCTTCCCTCTTTTTCAGTGGTTTCAAAGAGTTAATCAAGGAGTTTATCTATTCACCTTCCTAATGAAATACTTCCATCACTGTGGACAGGAGGCAATAGCTGTTTGACCGGCCTGAAATACAGGGGTGGCTGTCCAAACCCCCCCCCGCCCCATAATTCGGACTCTTAAAGTCACACCAGGCACATCTTCTGAATTTTTCCAGTCAAATATATGGGGACTCGCTCCCTAAAATTTTCATCTTAAAGCAGCCTTGGAAGACACTCATTTTGCCCTTCCACACGGGTGAATTCCATAGTGGATTCATGTCACACTAAATTACTTTAATTTATTACGGGATTCATTTCCACAGGATATCCAGGTTAGGGCGGGCAGTGTGTTTGCACTGGGGCACATCCAAGGCTGGCCAGGGTGGAAGACCTCAGCCACAGCCGAGGGCTCTCCCTGCCCACGACACCGGCAGGGGCTCTGCACCCACCGAGGCAACAGCAGCCAGAGTAGCGGTGATGCCCTCTGCTCCTGGACTGCCAGGGTTTAGCAGCACAAGGGGTACCGAGAGAGTTTTGCTTGCAAAATCTACGATTTAGGCTTTGGGTTTTAACTATAAAGTGGAACCACACAAGTTAAGCTGAAGCAAACATCAATGGTATGGGCTCTGAATGCAGCAGCTTGTTTAAGCATGCCTGTGGCTATGAATGTGCCCTTCAATCCCACCGATGCCCCAGCTCCCCCGGGTGCAGCTATTAACCTCTACTGTCAATAACTGATTAAACAAATCTTCAACCAAGGATTCAGCACAGAGGCTGCACACTCCAAACGAAACGCCTCAGGCCCAAACTCTGAATTTACTATTTTTTCCATCCCAAATGTCAATAAAAGCATTGTCAGGCCTCTATTTTCAGCCAGTTGCATCTGGAGATGCCATTGCACCATGCCTCTGCTGGGTATAATCTGCAGACACCATTGCACCACGCCGCTGCCGGGTATAATCTGCAGATTGCACAGACTTGCCGATTGCTGCTGAAGAGCCACACCAAGTTGTCTCCTGTCCCAAGATTTTTCTGTCCCAAGAGCTTTGGAAAAAGGATTTTTGCTGTACCCCATATGAATATTTCACCGAGAAATGAAAAGCGGTGGCTGCCTGGGTCGCTCCTGTACAGGGCTGGGCTGGGAGTGCAGGAAGCAGTGAATCAAGCTGGACAGCTGGAGGAAAACTTAGCGCGCCCTAGGCTAAAAGCAAAGAGAGGATAAGTAGGTCCTGTCAGTAGTTCTCGGCCGTCGCCGAGGCATGACCGTGTCAGAGCCCTGCGCTGACGGGTCTCTGCTTCCCGCAAGGTGGTTAACTCTAACCCGGGAGCACGAAGCCCCGGACTTTCTCTATGGCTCTCATTCAGACAGGCTGCTTGGGCTCATTCATACTGAACAAGAGCCTTCTTAAGTTGGTTTTTTTTTTTTTTTTTCCCCTGGCCATTACCACCTCCCCCGGCGTTTTCTTTTTTTTTCCACTTTCACACTTCTTAAGTGTTTTTTTTTTTTTTTTTTCCACTGGCCATTACCACATACCCAGGCGTTTCATTCCTTGTTCACATTCAGAAGTTATATTCTAGCTCCTGGACACTGCAAGAGCTCAGAACATAAATATGTAATATAAAGTAAAATGTAGCTTGTTCCACTGAGTTACAACTTACACAGAGATTAACACTTGCATTTCCAAACCCTACAACACAGCTGAAAGCTTTTCCTCAAGAGCTGCTGCTCTGGTAGCGGTGCGCTGGGTAACACAGCAAAACTAATGGGCTTTATAAAGCAAACACTTGCATTCGTATCCTGGCTACCCAGCCCTGGCTCTCCCACGGCTTCACTCGCCCGTCTGCATGGAAATAGGATAATATTTACCTCCATTCCTGACTGCTGGATTTTTGAGAGTTTACTTAGTAATGGTAATATCTGAATGAAAAAACAAGGTCTCCTCCTTCCACCGGGTGCCATGACCAAAGCGGTCCATGCTCCTGCGGCCAGCCATGGCGTGACTTTCCTCCCGGTGGCAACTTTTGAAGTTTTCAAGTATGTTTTTCTTTCCACTTTGGAGCAAAACCAAACCATTTCCAACATTGTCGTGAAAACAGAGCTTTGTGAAGCCCTCTGATTTTGGACTGAAACCCGAGCTTTTTGAATTGGAGTGAAAACACGCAGGATTTTCCAGATGCAAGTCTTTGCTGTGCTTGATTCAGTGCAGCCTTTTCTGAAATGGGCAAAGGAAGGACCTGAAGATGCTCATGCTAGTCCAGATCCTTCCAGATGCTGGGGCAAGTCACCAGGTAAGACTGGAAGAAACTCAGTCTGCTACTTGATTCTGATATATTTAATGAAACCACTCCTAAACTTCAACTAAAGTTTTTATAATGGGGGAAATTCCATCCAGGATTTAGTTGGGATTACTCTGGAGGAAAATAATCCACCTCCCCTGGACCGCTGAGTTCCACACCCCACGTATGGTCCTTCACGCTAACTCCTAAGCCCTGCACCTTACTTCATTTTACAGAGCAGTGTCCAGCAGGCACGAAGAGCATCTCCAAATGACATCCTTCCCTTGGGCTGAGCTGCAGGAGAGCCCAAAAAAGCAGAGGAAGACAGTGCATCCCACTAGACATCTGAGATCAACCTACTGATGCAAAGCAAGATAGGAAACTCTCAGGAAAGGTACTCAACAAATTTACTCATAAAGATGCTCCGGGCAATTAGACCTCATTTTAAACCTGTTCTGCAAGAAATCCTAGTTTGGGTAGCTCCTCAAACTGAGATGAATGTACTGGCTTGCTCAGGAAAAGAAAAAAAAATTGAAAAAAAAAAAAAAGTACTTTATTCTTTATCCAGCTAAGGGTGAAAACAGATCGTTTTATTTATGTTTGCAATAAGCATTCTAACAGTCTCATCCCTGAGACAGTCTGCTGTGCTATTTAATCATCAATTCTAAGGATCAGACCCACTAAATAAATAAAGAAAGCTAAGAAAACCTCTTCAGCATTTTTGCAGTCGCGTGCCACGCCACTCTGTAAGATGAGCCTCTTGTTAAGACAACTCTTTACAACATTCAGGACTGAGAATAAGTACCAGAACGGTGGACTCGGGCATTTTGTGGGCTCCCTTTCTATAAAAAGTTTTGCCGAGTGCTCAGAGAGGAGAGAAACCCCATTTCCAGGGCCACTGGAGCAGAGTCACACACTGCACCGTGGTCTCCAAGTGTGTCCAGGAGCCAGGAGAACATCCCTGCTGGGGACAAGGACCACTGCCCGGGCACAACGTATACGTGAGGGAGCGATATAAGGTGAGAGCGTGGAGATTGGTCACTGGCAGAGCAAACGCTGGTGGTTTTATGCTGCTGTTCTTCATCCAACCAATTCGTACACACTGCTCAGGCAAACATCCCAGCGAAGTGCTTTTCCCTGAGTATCAGTAGTTATAGCTGGTTCCATCAAAGCGTATGTACATATAGAGAGAGGGGTATATGTAGCAGTTCCACCCTTTGGAACGTGAAGGTGTAAAATCCCGCACGGCAAAGCCCAAGGATGCGCTCCGTGCCCAACAGCGCTGCTGGAGCGCGGCTCCCCACCGCCCCGCAACCGGG